TTTGTATACCAAGTGAAAACGTTTTAAGGTGTAAATCTCTTATAACTTCATGTTTCAGAGTGGCAGCAACATTTTGTTAACTCAATCAGAGAATGTGTATGCAACATTGTCAAACGTGTATATTGTTTCTGTTGAAAATTTTGAAAAATATGATGCCCTCAAATCACCTGAACAAATACAACTGGAAAATGCATGTTCAAACTATGTGAAGTGAGTCACACTTCAGTTTTGCTACTGAAACCAAAGTAAGAATAAGTTTGTCACATCTAAATCAAGGATTATTTCAAGAAATTGCAAAGTTCTACTGTTTTGACAGTACCTGAATGGGAGTAACCACACATGGTTAACTCAATCACAGAACCTATACCTATCATTGCCAACCATGTAAATCACGTTATTGCTCAAAAACTATAATAAAACAAGTATTCTTAAAACTACACTGTAGCAGTGAATGGTTAAAAAGAACAATTTAGCTCAAAGGAAGTGAATGGCACATTGCATTCAACTAACACTAATATATGTGAAATATTCACGTTTGGTAAACCAAGTGAAAACGGTGTGAGGTGTAAATCTCTTATTACTTCGTGCAACACAATGGCAGCAACAACACTTAGTTAACTCAATCAGAGAATGTATAGGTAACTTTGTCAAACGTGTATATCAAGTTTCTGCTGAAAACTTTGAAAAAACATAATACCTTCAATTCACCTTAGCAAGTGCAACTGGAAAGTGTACATTTAATTTATGTGAACTGAATCATATTTTGCTTTCTACTGATACCAAAGTATGAGTAAATTTCTCCTGTCCAATTCAAGGAGTTTTTCACGAAATTGCAAAAGTTCCACTGTTTTGAAAGTACTTGAATGACAGTAACACACTGTAAGGTGTAAATCTCTTACAACTTTCTGTATAAGAGTGTCAGAAACAACACTTGGTTAACTCACTCAGAGAAAGTATATGTAACCTCTCAAACGTGTATATTAAGTTTCTGTTGAAAACTTATAAAAAATATGATGCCTTCAATTCACCTTAACAAATACAACTGTAATCTGCAGGTTTAATCTATGTGAAGTGAATCCCACATTGCTTTCT